TGGATCACAAGGTTAGGAGATCAAGACCATCCTGGCTAACACGGTGAAACCCCATCTCTACTAAAAATACAAAAAATTAGCCGGGCATGGTGGCAGGTGCTGTAGTCCCAGCTACTCTGGAGGCTAGGCAGAGGAATGGCGTGAACCCAGGAGGCGAAGCTTACAGTGAGCCGAGATCGCGCCACTGCACTCCAGCCTGGGCGACAGAGCGAGACTCCGTCTCAAAGAAAAAAAAAAGATGGAAAAAATGTTAAGAGCAGCCAGAGAGAAACACTGGGTTACCCATGAAGGGAAGCTCATCAGACTAACAGCGGATCTCTCAGAAGAAACCCCACAAGCCAGAAGAGAGTGAGGGTAAATATTCAACATTCTTAAAGAAAAGAATTTTCAACCCAGAATTTCATATCCAGCCAAACTAAGCTTCACAAGCAAAGGAGAAATAAAATCCTTTACAGACAAATAAATGCTGAGAGATCTTCTCACAACCAGGCCTGCCTTACAAGAGCTCCTGAAGGAAGAACTAAACATGGAAAGGAAAAACTGGTACCAGCCACTGCAAAAACATACCAAATTGTAACGATCATCGACCCTATTAATAAACCGCACCAACTAACGGGCAAAATAACCAGCTAGCATCATAATGACAGGATCAAATTCACACATAACAATATTAACCTTAAATGTAAACAAGCTAAATGCCCCAATTAAAAAGACACAGACTTACAAATTGAATAAAGAGTCAAGACCTATCAGTGTGCTATATTCAGAAGATCCATCTCACATGCAGAGACACACATAAGCTCAAAATAAAGGGATGGAGGAATATTTACCATGCAAATGGAAAGCGAAAAAAAAAAAATCAGGGGTTGCAATCCTGGTCTCTGATAAAACAGACTTTAAACCAACAAAGATCAAAAGAGACAAAGAGGGCCATTACATAATTGTAAAGGGATCAATACAACAAGAAGAGCTGACTCTCCTAAATATATATGCACCCAATACAGGAGTATCCAGATTCATAAAGCAAGTTCTTAGAGACCTACAAAGAGACGTAGACTCCCACACAATAATAATGGGAGACTTTAACACCCTATTGTCAATATTAGATCAACAAGACAGAAAATTACAAGGATATTCAGGACTTGAACTCAGCTCCAAGGGGACCTAATAGACACCTATAGAACTCTCCACCCCAAATCAACAGAATATACATTCTTCTCAGCACCACATCACACTTACTCTAAAATCAACCAGATAATTGGAAGTAAAACACTCCTCAGCAAATGCAAAAGAATGGAAATCATAACAAACAGTCTCTCAGACCACAGTGCAATAAATTAGAACTCAGGATTAAGAGACTCACTTAAAACCACACAACTACATGGAAACTGAATAACCTGCTCCTGAATGACTACTGGGTACATAACGAAATAAAGGCAGAAATAAAGAACTTCTTTGAAATCAATGAGAACAAAGACACAATGTACCAGAATCTCTGGGACACATTTAAAGCTGTGTCTAGAGGAAAATTTACTGCACTAAATGCCCACAAGAGAAAGTAGGAAAGATCTAAAATTGACACCCTAACATCACAATTAAAAGAACTAGAGAAGAACAAACAAATTCAAAACCTAGCAGAAGACAAGAAATAACTAATTTCAGAGCAGAACTGAAGGAGATAAAGACACAAAAAAACCCTTCAAAAAAAAAATCAATGAATCTAGGAGCTGTTTTCTTTTTAAATGATCAACAAAATAGATCGCTAGCAAAACTAATAAAGAAGAAAAGAGAAAAGAAACAAATAGATGCAATAAAAAATGATAAAGGAGATATTACCACTGATCCCACAGAAATACAAATTACCATCAGAGAATACTATGAACACCTCTACACCAATAAACTAGAAAATCTAGAAGAAATGGATAAATTCCTGGACATATACACGCTCCCACATCTAAACCAGGAAGAAGTCGAATCATTGAATAGACCAATAACAAGTTCTGAAATTGAGGCGGTAATTAATAGCCTACTAATCAAAAAAAGTCCAGGACCAGATGGATTCACAGCCGAATCCTACCGGAGGTACAAAGAAGGGCTGATAACATTCCTTCTGAAACTATTCCAAACAACAGAAAAAGAGGGAATCCTCCCTAACTCATCTTATGACGCCAGCATCATCCTGATACCAAAGCCTGGCAGAGATACACCAACAACAACAAAAAAAAATTTCTGGCCAATATCCCTGATAAACATCAATGCGAAAATCCTTAATAAAATACTGGCAAACCGAATCCAGCAGCACATCAAAAAGCTTATCCATCATGATCAAGTCAGCTTTATCCCTGGGATGCAGGGCTGGTTCAACATACACAAATCAATAAACGTAATCCATCACATAAACAAAACCAATGACAAAAATCACATGATTATCTCAATAGATGCAGAAAAGGTCTTCGACAAAATTCAACATCCCTTCATGCTAAAAACTCTCAATAAACTAGGTATCGATGGAATGTATCTCAAAATAATAAGAGTTATTTATGACAAACCCACAGCCAATATCATACTGAATGGACAAAAACGGGAAGCATTCTCTTTGAAATCCGGCACAAGACAAGGATGCCCTCTCTCACCACTCCTATTCAATGTAGTATCTGAAGCTCTGGCCAGGGCAATCAGGCAAGAGAAAGAAATAAAGGTATTCAAATAGGTAGAGAGGAAGTCAAATTGTCTCTGTTTGCAGATGACATGATGGTATATTTAGAAAATTCCATCGTCTCAGCCCAAAACCTCCTAAAGCTGATAAGCAACTTCAGCAAAGTCTCAGGATACAAAATCAATGTGCAAAAATCACAAGCATTCCTATACACCAATAATAAACAAACAGAGAGCCAAATTATGAGTGAACTCCCATTCACAATTGCTACAAAGAGAATAAAATACCTTGGAATATAACTTACAAGGGATGTGAAGGTCCTCTTCAAGGAGAACTACAAATCTCTGCTCAAGGAAATAAGAGAGGACACAAACAAATGGAAAAACATTCCATCCTCATGGATAGGAAGAATCAATATCATGAAAATGGCCATATTGTCCAAAGTAATTTATAGATTCAGAGCTATCCCCACCAAGCTACCATTGACTTTCTTCACAGAATTGGAAAAAACTACTTTAAATTTCATATGGAAACAAAAGAGTCCACATAGCCAAGAAAATCCTAAGCAAAAAGAACAAAACTGGAGACATCACACTACCTAACCTCAAACTATACTACAAGGCCACAGTAACCAAAACAGCATGGTACTGATACAAAAACAGATCAATGGAACAGAACAGAGACCTCAAAATAGATATCTACAACCGTCTGATCTTTGACAAACCTGACAAAAACAATCAACGGGGAAAGGATTCCCTATTTAATAAATAGTGTTGGGAAAACTGGCTAGCCATATGCAGAAAAATGAAACTGGACCCCTTCCTTTTACCTTTAACAAAAATTAACTCAAGATGGATTAAAGACTTAAATGTAAGACCTAAAACCATAAAAACTCTAGAAGAAAACCTAGGCAATACCATTCAGGATACAGGCATGGGCAAAGACTTCATGACAAAAACACCAAAAGTAATGGCAGCAAAAGCCAAAATTGACAAATGGGATCTAATTAAACGAAAGAGCTTCTGCACAGCAAAATAAACTAGCATCAGAATGAACAGGCAACCTACAGAATGGTAGAAAATGTCTGCAATCTACCCATCTGACAAAGATCTAATATCCAGAATCTACAAAAAACTTAAACAAATTTACAAAAAAGCAAATAACCCCATCAAAAAGTGGGCAAAGGATATGAACAGACACTTCTCTAAAGAAGACATTTATGCAGCCAACAAACATATGAAAAAAAACTCAACATCACTGACCATTAGAGAAATGCAAATCAAAACCACAATGAGATACCATCTCACACCAGTCAGAATGGCAATTATTAAAAAGTCAAGAAACAAAAATGCTGGCAAGGCTGTAGAGAAATAGAACGGTTTTGGACTGTTGGTGGGAATGTAGATTGGTTCAACCATTGTGGAGGACAATTCCTCAGGGATCTAGAACCAGAAATACCATTTGATCCAGCAATCCCATTACTGGGTATACACCCAAAGGAATATAAATCATTCTACTATAAAGACACATGCACACGTATGTTTATTGCAGCACTATTCACAATAGCAAAGACGTGGAACCAACCCAAATGCCCATCAATGATAGACTGGATAAAGAAAATGTGGCACATATATACAATGGAATACTATGCAGCCATAAAAAAGGATGAGTTCATGTCCTTTGCAGGGACATGGATGAAGCTGGAAACCATCATTCTCAGCAAACTAACACAAGAACAGAAAACCAAACACTTTCATTCGTAAGTGGGAGTTGAACAATGAGAACACATGGACACAGGGAGGGGAACATCACACACCAGGGCCTGTCAGGGGGTGGGGGGGCTAAAGGAGGGATAGTATTAGGAGAAATACCTAATGTAGATGACGGCTTGATGGGTGCAGCAAACCACCATGGCGTGTGTATACTTATGTAACAAACCTGCACATTCTGCACATGTATCCCAGAACTTAAATTTAAAAAAAAAAAAAAGAAAGAAATATGTTTCAACTACAGAATATCATTCACTCAACTAATTTCTATTGAACCACTAATGTTCCAGGCACCATTCCCCTCCTATGTGCTAATGAGTGCTTAGTAAAACATAAAGCTGAGGACGAAATGCAGGCTTTGTTAAGGTTCCCCAGGCCTTATAGAGTAGATCCACATTGAATACTTTAGGCCATGGATAAAGCCATTCCTATGTCCAGACTATGTCTGCTGGTCATTACCATTTTCAATATGTCATATGAGTGGCAAAACAAAAGACTGACATTGTCTCCTAAATACAGGACTTGCATGGTCCACAACTAGAGTTACGATCTTTAAGTATTCCAGGTCCACATACCTTTGACTCTACTTTTCATGCTTTTCTTCAGGACATTTTCCCCGCTATCACCTCCTCCTTCCTCTGCTGCCACCAAAGCAAAGAACTCTTCCAAATTTTCACCTTCCACTTTTGCCAAGCAAAAGTTGCTAAACTTCAGTGTGCCAGGCCCTTCCAAGAGTATCTATGAAGATCAAATAAATGTTTTCAGAAGAAAAATCAACTTAATTTGTACATATATCAGTACCTCTTATAATTGCACTAAAGAACTTTTGAGCATTGCTATTCTTTCTCCATCAGAACTCAGAAAAATAAATGCTTATAATTTTTTTAAAAAGCTAAAGAAAAATAAATCCAACTTTTTAATAATCAAATACAAAATTAAATTGTTCATTCTCAGATCTATATAATGAACTCATCATATAACCAAAGTGGAAAACTTCAGGTTTGGGGAAAGATAAACAATGATGAAAATAAAACAATCTGCACTTGCCAAGCCTCAGTGTCAGCTCTAACAGGATTTGAAAACCCAGCTGCTTGAGGTGTTGTTTATTCAAGTGAGGAAGCATAATGTAGAGTTAAGATTAAAGTTGAAGATCTGGATTTTACACCCAGGTCCACCATTTACTTGCTGTCTGACCTTGAAGAACATATTTAACCTTTCTAATCCCCAATCTCTTCACCTATAAAATGGGAAAAATAATACCAAACTCTTCAGACTGTTATAAGGATTAATCGAAGTTATACAAGTAAAGGGTTTGTAACAGTCGCTGGCATGTGACAAATGCTCAAGTCTGCTAATATAATTTGTGATTAGAATCTATGGATTGCTGAAAACATGCCAGGAACTACTGTTCTGTTACTTTTACCATTTCCTCTATTAAAAGTATTTCTAGATAGGTACAATGGGTCAGGTGGCTTTGTGGTTTTTCAAGGCTATGTAGGGTCAAGTGCGGTGGCTCACACCTGTAATCCCAGCACTTCGGAAGGCTGAGGCGGGCAGATCACTTGGGGCCACGAGTTCGAGACCAGCCTGGCCAACATGGTGAAACCCCATCTCTACTCAAAATACAAAAATTATCTGGGCATGGTGGCAGGCGCCTATAATCCCAGCTACTCAGGAGGCTGAGGCATGAGAATCACTTCAACCTGGGAGGCGGAGGTTGCAGTGAGCCAAGGTTGTGCCACTGCACTCCATTCTGCATGACAGCGAGACCCTGTCTCAAAAATATAAAATTAAAATAAAGGCAATGTGAAGTTAACTCTTAACTTCTAGTCACAAATACATACTAAGGATGTCTGCTGGTCTACAATAGTGGCTTTTAAACTTATGTGAGCATCAGAATCCCCTGGAAGACTTGTTAAAGCACAGACTACCAGTCACTACCCCCAGAGTTTCTGCTTCAACAGGTCTGGGATGGGGCCCATTTCTACCAAGTGTCAGGTCAACCTAATGCTGCTGGTCCAGAGGACCACTAGCAGGGATCAGCAAATTTTTTTGTGGTCGGTAAAGAGCCAGCTAATAAATATTTTAGACTTTATGAGCCATACAGTCTTTTATACTTCAATGTCATTTCATTTTAATGGAATCTCATACTTCAATTCTGTTGTTGCACAACGGTAGCCACTGACATTACATAAACCAAAGGTCGTGGCTGTGTTCCAGTGAAAGTGTACTTACAAAAATAGGAATCCTGCCTAACCTTTGCTAACCCCTGTTCTAGAACACAGGTTTGGGTTACAAAGCAGCCTGAGTTTTTCAGATCATAACAGCTGATAATAAATCTCATTAAACAACTCCCGTATAGATATCAGCAAACTACAGTCTCTGGGACAAACCCTGGCCACTGCCTTGTACAGCTATGAACCAAGAGTGTCAGATTAAAAAAAAAAAAAAAAACATCTGAAAACTGCCACACCAAAAAAAGTAAGTAAAAAAAGGGGGGGTGGGGATTTGGCCAGGCATGGTAGCTCACACCTGTAATCCCAGCACTTTGGGAAGCCAAGGCAGTAGGATCACCTGAGGTCAGGAGTTTGAGACCAGCCTGGCCAACACAGTGAAACCCTGTCTCTACTAAAAATACAAAAATTTGCCACACGCCTGCCGTCCCAGCTACTCGGCAGACCGAGGCAGCAGAATCACTTGAACCCAGGATGCAGAGTTTGCAGTGAGTTGAGATCACACCACTGCACTCCAGCCTGGACAACAGAGTAAAACTGTGTCTCAAAAAAATAAAAATAAAATAATTTTTTAAATGTGGTTTTTGTATTTCTAAATGGTTAGGGAAAAAATCAAAATAATATTTCTAGACATGTAACAATGAATTACATGAAATTCAAATTTTCATATCCACAAATGAAGTTATTGAAATGCAGCCACAGCCAGCTATTTACAAATTAATCTACAGCTGCTTTCAGCACTACAATGACAGTTGAGTAGCTGCAGACTTGAGGCACATATGTGAATATTTCAAACAAGAACTACTATTCATTATACAGGACTTTATGGAGTTTTCTTTTTTAGGTTTAATTATCTTCTCATACAGATGGCCTGTAAAAATAAAATTCTTAAATGAAATAGTCAGCTTTTTATTTCCTTGGCATATATTAAAGAAAAAGTAAAAACTCAGACCAGTAATATGTACAATTCCTCAGGGTATGTACTTATAAAGACAATAATTGACGTCACCGTGAGTACACTGCTTACCAAAAAGTATCCTAGAAACTTAACCTAAATATAATAGGTAATCCTCACAAATATCTTGAAAAATCTATCTCCATGTGACAAAGAAACTGAGGCAAAGAGAAGCAGGGTAACGTGTCCGGGTTCACACAGCTTCTAAGTGTTAGTGTTGATTGCAAGTCAGAAACCAAGTAGGTTTCATGACTCTACTATACTGGACATTTAGTTGTGGATAATTAATTTTACCAAAAAGAAAATATTTGATCCATAATATCAGGAATCATACATATATAGCCAAGAATGCCACTATCAACTAAAACAATGGTTCATAAATGTGTACGATGACTTAAGAGCTAAGAGGGCCTTATCTTACAGACATATTGGGTTCAACATTTACAATGTAGGTTAGTAGAATTAAGTGATTACTCAAAGAGCTCTGAAAAGGAGATTTCACATTCAAAAAGCAACTTATACAGGTAGCTAAAATACAGTACCATATATTTCCTTTCATTATTTCTTTTTTTTTTTTTTTTCTGAAACAGAATCTCGCTGGAATCCCAGGCTGGAATGCAGTGGTGTGACCTCAGCTCACTGCAACCTGCGCCTCCCGGGTTCAAGCAATTCTCCCTGCCTTGGCCTCTCAAGCAGCTGGAATTACAGGTGACTACTACCATACTCATCTATTTTTTGTGTTTTTATTTTTTATTTTTTTATTTTTTTAAGACAGAGTCTTGCTCTGTCACTAGGCTGGAGTGCAGTGGTGCGATCTCGGCTCACTGCAACCTCCGCCTCCCGGGTTCAAGCAATTCTCCCTGCCTTGGCCTCTCAAGCAGCTGGAATTACAGGTGACTACCACCATACTCATCTATTTTTTGTGTTTTTATTTTTTATTTTTTTATTTTTTTAAGACAGAGTCTTGCTCTGTCACTAGGCTGGAGTGCAGTGGTGCGATCTCGGCTCACTGCAACCTCCGCCTCCCGGGTTCAAGCAATTCTCCTGCCTCAGCCTCTCAAATAGTTAGGACTACAGGAGTGTGCCATCACGCCCAGCTAACTTTTGTTTTTTTTGTTTTTTGGTTTTTTTTTTAGTTGAGATGGGGTTTCACCATCTTGGCCAGGATGGTCTCGATCTCTTGACCTCGTGATCCACCCACCTCAGCCTCCCAACGTGCTGGGATTACAGGCAAGAGACACCGCGCCCAGCCTTTTGTGTTTTTAGAAGAGATGAGGTTTCGCTATGTTGGCCAGGCTGGTCTCAAACTTCTGACCTCAAGTGATCTGCCCGCCTCGGCCTCCCAAAGTGTTGGGATTACAGGCATGAGCCACCTGTGCCCTGCGTCCTTTTATTTTAAAAAAAGATTAACTAAAATTTCAAGATGTTCTATACCAAAATGTTATCTAAAAATAAAAACATCTTTGAGAAAGCACTCTAAATTGAGACAGAAGCAGTTAGAAAATAAAAAACTTTCATGAATTACCTTCCCAGGAGAAATGTCACAAAAGAGAATGCCAAGTTTATGAAGATGATGTAATCCAGTAACCAGGTCAATCCCAAATTCTCTCACAACATCTTCTGGGAGGTTTTCATCTTGAGCAATAACTGTTTTTAAGGAACCACCTGCAAGAAGTTGATTAAAATCACCCATTTTAACCCCCTACCATCACAGAGTACCCAAGAGGTTCCATGCTGACAGATACGAACATTGAAAAATGATCAAGACAGTAAACCCTGACAGTCTGGTCGAGGAACACACATGTGAGTGAATACAGTGGCCCAAGCGCTGCAACAGAAGTCTATGCCCAAGCACCAGAGACAGATTCAGGGAAGTGCCTGCTCCCTATGGATGAATGGTGAGAGGCAAGCAGGTAAGATGAAAGGATAATAACCCTAACAGCTGCAAATACTAATGGTAAATACCCCAAAACTGTGCACTTAAATCATATTATACTCTCGTTTATTGTTGTGCTGTCAAGTCACATTCTGAAAAGTACTGCATGGCAAAAAAGACTATGCCTTTCCTTAACAGATAATCACAACCCTTAGCATATGCCATTAATGAAATAAAAGGCCAAAGTCAGGCACATTGAGAATCCCATTACTATATTCTTCCAAGGTCCCAGTTACTCCTCTACCATCTAAGTGCCAGAAACAAATTTTTTTTTTTAAGGGTCAAGATTACAACAGCCAATCCATCAACAGATGAATGGATAAAGAAAATATGGTACATATATACAAGGGAGTACTATTCAGCCATAAAAGAGAGATTTTGTCATCTGCAACAACATGGTTGGAACTGGAGGTCATTATGTTAAGTAAAATAAGCCAGACACAGAAAGACAAACATTGCATGTCCTCACTCATTTGTGGGAGCTGAAAATTAAAACAATTGAAATCATGGAGATAGAGAACAGAAGAATGGCTACCAGAGGTTGGGAAGAGTAGTGGGGAGGTGGCGGGGAGTGGGGATGGTTAATGGGTGAAAATAAATAGTAAGAATGAATAAGAACTAGTACTTGATAATACAACAGGTAGCTAAAGTCAATAATAATTGAACTGTACATTTTAAAATAACTAAAAGAATATAATTGGATTGTAACACAAAGGATAAATGCTTGAGGAAATGGACACCCCATTTACCCTGATGTGCTTACTACACACTGCATGCCTGTACCAACTATGTCATGTTCCCCATAAATATTAATATACATACCTACTATATACCTACACAAATGAAAAATTAATACAACAGCCAAATTCAGAAAACATAAAGTCTCTGCTGGCATTAGAAAGTTGAGTATGAATTACTATGATGAAGGGAAGAGGTATTTGGGGTTTTATTTTGTTTTGGTGGGTGAGGGGCCGTTACAGACGTAGGCATGTTTTACAGTTAGGATACTACATCTGGTCAGCTGAAGCAAAAAACTAATTCTAGGACTATCTCTTGATAACTTTGTCAATGTGTACATCTATGGAAGTAATTCAACCATAATTCTGTCCTATTGATTCAGAAAAATAAAATCAAGTAAGTTATTAATTCAAATTACTTAAGTTTTGTAAATTCTGTGTCAATATGATAAGTTAGATTCACAAAGCTAGTAATAATTATATCAATATTCAATTATCCTTTATTGTTACTCAATGTATAAACAGAAGTACACTAACAGTAGTACTTCATAGTAGTTAATAGTAGTACTTAGTAGTGGTTATTACATTTTTTCCCTGTTAAACTCTTAAAATTTTGAAACTAAAAGCCCAGATAATATGTATTTAGTCACCTTTCTCCCTGTATATAGTCCTAGAAAGCTGTATGAAGGAATGGCTATAATTTGTTATCTCTAATTATTTGTTGGTTCATCTTTGTACTTTTTCACATTGCTTAAAATTTTAGGAGGTACAGTATGCTTTTCACAAAAACAAAAAGATACTTTATAAATGTATTAGCTAATTAATAGCTAGTCAACTTAAAATGTTCGTTTTTATTCCTTGGGAAAATATTTTTGATAAATTAATCACCACTTTAAAACATTTCTAAATTTTTATGTATGTAATGTAATAATACACCAAAGTAAACCCAACCCAGAATTGAATTTACATAATTCTTTTTCCCAAACATCTTTGCTCTTCACCCTTCCCTAATATCCACAGAACAATAGATTTTCAAGTTAACATAGTAAATAACATCAAAAGTAACAAAACTTACAGCATGTTTTTTTTCAATACTATATTCATAGCACTTTTTACATACTCTTTCTTACCTGTGCAGAGTTCCACCACTAGCCAGAGGTGATTGCTGGTTTCATACCATTCATGAAAAGTTACAATATTCTTGTGTTTAATTTCATGGGTGAGACGGACCTATAAAAACACAGAGCATTCACTCTAAAAAGAAATACCTAAAACTCTTACATCCACTGAGAAAAACCTAAATATACAATTGGTAAGTGGATAAGAAAATGGTGACATTTATTTGGTGGAATTCTATACAGATACTAGAAATCATGGTTATGAGGGCTAGTCACACAGAAAAACACTAACTTAAAAATAAACTTTTTTGGCCATGCACGGTGACTCACACCTCTAACAATCCCGGCACTTTGGGAGGCAGAAGTGGGCGGATGACTTGAAGTCAGGAGTTCAAGAGCAGCCTGACCAACATGGTGAAACCTCGTCTCTACTAAAAATACAAAAATCAGTTGGGCGTGACGGCACACACCGTTCAGTAGCCTGAAATTCAAGCTACTTGGAGACTAAGGCAGGAAAATTGCTTGAACTCAGAAGGCAGAAGTTGCAGTGTGCTGAGATGGTGCAACTGCACTCCAGCCTGGGTGACAGAGCAAGACTCCATTTCTAAATAAATAAATAAATAAATTTTTTAAAACTTGTGTAATACTCTTTTGCATGTCTCTGTAAATATAAATTTGAAAAGAATTATTTATAGAAAAATGACCAGAAGATATTCACCAACATAGCTACTGTTATTAGTGAAACTGCTGGTGTTTTTTAATTCTACCTTTCTCTCATTTCCTATTGGCTATACTAATACACATACCTTCATAGCCAAGAAAGAAAAAATAATTTTAAAGGGAAAAAATTTCTCCTAAGTAAACATAACCTACCTACTCAATAATACAATAGTTAACTAAGTTGTATTATCAACTGACAAAATATTGTCAACATTAAAATGTATACTTAATTTTATTACATAGAGGAATGAGTGTTATAATGTTAATTGAGAAGGGCAAAAAACAAAATTATACCACGATTAAACCATTAAAGAACAAACTCAGAAACTAGAAGGAAACAAACCAAGACATGAGCAATGATTATCTTCTTTTTTTTTTTTTTTTGAGAAGGAGTCTTACTCTGTCATCCAGGCTGGAGTACAGTGGTGCAATCTCGGCTCACTGCAACCTCTGCCTCCCGGGTTCAAGCAATTCTCTGCCTCAGCCTCCCAAGTAGCTGGGATTACAGGTACACACCACCATGCCCAGTCAATTTTTGTACTTTTAGTAGAGATGGGGTTTCACCACGTTGGTCAGGCTGGTCATGAACTCCTGACCTCAAGTGATGCACCCGCCTTGGCCTCCCACAGTGCTGGGATTACAGGTGTGAGCCACTGTGCCCAGTTAAGCAATGATTATCTTTAGGTGATAGGACAATTGCCCTTTTTTCTTCTATTCATTTTTCCCTATTGTCCAAGTTTCTACAGTGAAGTTGTATTTTTTTTTTGCCGGGTTCACGCCATTCTCTGCTTCAGCCTCTGGGAGTTGGGGCTGCATGTGCCTGCCACCATGCCAGGCTAATTTTTATTTTTAGTAGAGACAGGGTTCACATGTTAGCCAGGATGGTTTCAATCTCCTGACCTTGTGATCTGCCCGCCTTGGCCTCCCAAAGTGCTGGAATCAGCCCTGAGAGGCACGGCAAACCACCTGGGCCAGCAC